AGTAACCTAGGGAAGTTTCCATGAAACTAACAAAACTAAGAAACACTTCATATTACTTGACAGCAATAAAATGAAAACAGACAATAAAAGGACCATAAACCAGAAAATGAGAATAGAAACATCAAGCATAACAAGCTAAGAAACGTAAGTGTAATTAGGCCTCCCAAGCACTATGAAGTCCTGTTCACATTCCTTTATAGTAAGAGAAAGCCAACAGATATACCTCCTGGAATTAACAAGAGGTATGTACAAGAGGATGAAAGCACATCAGATTTTATCCCTCCCTCCTCCCCTTGCCTTTCTGAGCCTGTTCCATTGGTCTGTTGAGAATAATCCCCAAATGTCTTCCTTTCATGCTACAAAAATTGTAAGAATTCTCTTCCCATTAGTATCCGATTAAGAATGTCCTTCTTAAAATAACAATCCACTATTTCTCACTCAGTATGGACTTTTGTTCATTCACAGGTCAGTGTGATGGAGGAGAAAAGAAGAACATGAATAAAAAGTGATGGAACTAGAGGTACTTACTGAAATGTTAAAAAGGTAATGCTACCAAGTCCCCAAGGTCACAAGCGTAGCATACCTTTTCAAGCTGTGAATTCTCCCTAGGAATGTGCTTGTTAGTATTATCTTATAGTACAGATTGTTAGAAATCACACTTCCTGGGTTGAATAACTTGGTTCTTCTACTGCATATAACAAAATAGAATGAAATGTTCAAAGCTGAAGTAAAGTTGTGTCAAGTTTTGTTGTTCACACTTACTTTGGTATTATAATGTGCTAATAATTGATGATGATGACCATTGTTTTTGAAATAATTAAGTTTTATCTAAAAAAACTTCAAATAATTGAGTGGTATCTAAAAGAATCTGAAAAACTTCCACTCTCCTGCTTAACTGGATAAACATTGATTCCATATATTTTATTATCTGTGCAAGTATACCTCATGAGTTAGAAAGCAAGCTAAGGGAAAAAACTGTATTAAAGTCCCTTAAAAAAATTGAATTATTATATAATATTGTGTGTTGTATACAGAACCATAACTAGCTGATTATGCCTCCAGCAAATTCAGTGAAAGGTGGGGGTGGCAGGTATAGGAAATGGGTATAGTTGGACCAGTCAGAGGAGCTTTGAGATGCCTTTTAGTTCTATATCTATGAACCTATGATCTCATGCCCCATAGCGAGAGAGTATGGACCTTAATCCCACAGGATTGGCAGAGGGGTAAGAGGCATCAATAAAACCCTGGGGATGGTGTCATACCATTCAATTGGAAAGGATGCCCACCTGGATGACAGTGAAATAAAGTCCTTTTGCTCCTTGCTTAGGGGAAGGGGCAGGGGAGATTGGCTCTAGTTGTATACATGTACGCGACAATTTTCCAAATGAAAAGAAACATACCTCTGACATCTAAGTTTAGATTTTACATATAAACAGGATATGTATAATATAGAGATATGATAAATCTGAAAAAAAAATTAATAGACACTATAGACAAATGTATATATTAAGGGTATAGTCCATATATTAAGGATATTATATATTATATGTTAAGGGTATATATTAAGGGTAAAGTCCACAGCAGGGAAGACAAGTTAACATATACATTAACTATAAGGTTTTGTGTACACTTTTTGGTAAACTCTAAAAATGCACTCATTTGGAATTGGAGATTTCTCCGTTGTTCTCATTATGTTAATGAATAAATTTTATGTCAAAATATCATATGCTTACATCTTAAAGGGCAGAACATTAATGTTTAAATATGCTGGTACTAATAATCAAAACATGAGTCCTGTAACCTATTTTTTCACTAAGAACTTAAGACATAAATTCACCAATTTATGAATGTTTTTTCCCAACTAGGGGCATTGGCCTGCTCTGGTTTGTCTCTCATAAGCTATTAGAACTATATTTTATGTAGGTCCCCTTTTCCTATGACCCATATTCAAAAACTACTCTCCTACTGACTGAATATTCAAATATTAACATATTCTGTTATCATGCTAACATATTGTAAGTATATACAATATTATATAATTGATTCAAATATTGACATAGTATGTTAACATGTTAACACATTTTAAGCATACTTAATATATTACCATGCCAGGCATCTTACTTTAAGCAAACCTGGTATTTGAACATCCAGACTTAAATCAAGAGGATTATTCTTCATTTGAAAATAATTATTCACTTTATAAAAAGAACTACCAAAAACTCTTTGAAATAATAAACCACTTAAGACCATAGGATGTAGAGCTCAAAGTGACTTTAGGTGACCATCTAGTACAACCCCCTCATTTTACAGAGGAGGAAACTGAGTCCCATAGTGGTTATAGTGACTTGTCCAAAGTCATACAGGTAAGTAGCATGGTCTTTCTCAGTCTGCCAAGTTGATCCTAACAAGATACAAGTCTCTATCATCTGATGACCAGCCTAGCTGAGTTCAGAAAAGCTTGTCACCAAATTGGCTGCTGGGTAATGATTTCCGGTCATGGTAACTCTTGAAGAACACCTACTTAAGTTGAAGAAAAGGTGTGATTTACATTGGTGGAGGCAATAATCACACTAACAAAGTCACAGATTCCTGAATTAATGACATAGAAGTCACTGAACTGGAATTGGTAAACCAGAAGCAAGCAGCTGGGACAACAATTGTGCAGGAACCATGATATCCACCTTGCCTAGACCTCTAAATCAATCTAGGTCACACAGCTGAGAACATAAATGTCATTTATAAATATTATTGTTGTTCAGTCCTTTCAGAAGTGTTAGACTCTCTGTGACCCCATCTGAGGTTTTCTTGGCAAAGATACCGGAGTGGTCTGCCATTTAGTTCTCCAAATCATTTTACAGTTGAGGAAACTGAGGCAAACTGGGTTAAAAGTGACTTTAAGTACAGGTAATTCTCCCACCCCACTTGGCTATTCTATAAGGAGAAACTAGTGTGGAAAAGCTGCTATGAAAATATGGATGTATCCAAGGTTACTCAGGCAGTGGGCAGAGGCAAACTAGAAACCTCTGAAGGCTGCCTTCAGTTTGTTATTAGGTCACACATGCTCCCTTGGTTGTTAGTATAAAACACCCCAGTGATTCACACAGTGGAATGTTTGAGCCAAGGATGTCACCTAATATATAGCATGGAGATATGGCTTTATCTGGGAATTACATAATCTGCCTAATGTATAAAAGTAGCAATGGAATTTGGTGCTTTAAAAAAAAAAACCCACTATCACCTTCTGGGTGGTTCCCCCTCTTACCAAAGAGGACTCCCAGCAATTTCCTTAGCTCTGCAGGTGACAGATTAAACTAGGGTTAGTGAAGTTCTCATATAGGTCAATACAATGTCTGGTTTAGTTTTGTAGAAGAATCCAGCAAAAGACCCTAAACGTTAACCCTTACAATGTTGTTCCTGTGATTTATACCACATCCCTAGTTCCATAAAATTCCAGGGAAAAGGTCCAATTTGGTGTGAAAGCTGTGTCTGAAAACCTCTGGCTAAATCTGCCCGTGTTCTAGGTCTGGAATGGGTGGGATTGGGAGAAGGGGGGCTCCATGGGAGAAGGGGAGCCGGTGGGATGCAAAGACCCCTCTTTCCCGACCTTTTTGACACCTTCCTTCCAAAATACAATTGCTTGTCGCCCTTCCCCCAACTCTGCAGTCCTTTATAAGGCCAATCTAAATGCGGATGGCGCCCGGGATGGGGAGAGGTCTGAATCCCACTTTTGCATTTACTTATGTGACCTTGAGCCAGTCACCTCTCTGGTGTATCCTCTTTTATTTAAATGAGGTTGTTGGATTAAAAGACTGCTAAATTTCTTTCCAACTCTTCCACACCACATGTGGTGTCTACTCCTAGGACAATCGGTCCACAAGCATTTATTAAGTGCTTACTAAGTGCCGGTCACAGTGCTAAACAAATGGAACACAAAGGCAAAAAATAAAAACTATCTATAGAAACCACCAAGTGCCTGACTTCGGGGAGCTCACATTCTAATGGGGGAGAGACATCAAAAAGCTCCAGATTCCTTTGGTTCTATCTACACAAAGGGTACATGCTCTTTATAAGTGTTAAGGTGCTAAGGCAAAGTGGGGATCAGGAGGGTACCCATTCTCTGGCAAATTCCCTTCCACTCCTCTACCCGAGCGTCCCACCCTCCACGCTATCACATACACGTACACAGATGCCCCTTTCTCGGAGGTGGGAATGTGAGTAGGGCGTCCCTACAGCACGTGCCCCTTAAAAAGAGGGCATAGGGTTTCCTACCGGCCACAGGAGGTCCGCACCTCGGGTGACCAGACAGGCAGATAGCCTTCAGACCTTACAGCTCTTTCTTTCTTTCTTATCTCCTCCCCCACTCCGTCTTCCCAATACACACCTACTCTCTCACACACGCACAAGCGTTTGGGGGCAGGAAACGAGACCCACTCCCCCGCCATCCACACACACGAACACGCACACCCTCGAGGCCATCCCAGCTTCCTGCCTGCCCTCCACCGTCCAATAGCCTCGGGGCAGGGCAAGCAGAACAAGCCGCGACAGCCTCAGCCAGGGTCCCCGCCCTGTTCCCGGTTCCTTCGCCTTGGTAATCCATTGGGCCCGGGGCTGGGCCTTTATATGCCTCCTGCAGCCCGCCCGGCTCGCCGGCTTTCTTTTCCACCTTCTGTCCTCCTGCAATAGCACCATTAGCTGCAACAGCAGCAAAAGCAACAGCAGCAACAGCAGCAACAGCAGCAGCAGCAGCAGCAGCAAAAGAAGCAGAAGCTGCTCCCGGGCACTGCAAAAAAAAAAAAAAAGAGGGGGGGAGCCGCAGCCTGCCAGCACCGCTCCCCATCCTAGCTCCCCTCTTCGTCCCCCCTCCTTTCCATCCTTCCCCCCTTGTCCTGTCTTGCCAGGTCAGCGCCAAGTGTGTATGTGCGTGTGTTTGTGAGTTGCGCGTGTCTGGGTGTGAGCGCGCGCGCGCGCCCGCCCGCCAGCGCTGCGCCCGCAGGAGCCCCAGCTGTGCGCGCTGGAGCCCGGCTCCGAACCTGGGTCTCCCCCTCCCCCAAGCAGCGGAACCCGGGCATTCCCCCCTGCACCTACCCCTCCCCTTCCCTCTTCCCCCCTACCCCGGGCCCCCCGGCTCCCGCGGCTGTGCAACAAGATGGCGGGATCGGTGGCCGAGAGAGACGCGGAGGTGGTGAGTGTGACAGGGCGCACAGGAGGGAGGGAAGGAGACGCGGCCCCCTGTCCAGCCCGGGCGCCCAGCTGCTGGGGCCAGAGCAGCGGAGACGGCCCCCGCTGCCGCGATTTGCTGGAGGTGGAAGGGAGTAGGGGGGTGGGTTTAATTTGCAACTCCCCCCTGCCTCTTTTTGGGGGAAGTCCCTGGATCCCGAATACCTGTTAGCTGGAGCCGGAGCTGCATGCAGACGGCCCGCAGTAGCGCGGCCGGGATCGGGGGAGGGCGAATAAGGAGCTGGTAGCCCAGGGTGGACCTGGCCTGGAAATGGTTAGGCGGAGACTAGAGGTGGGGGAGATAGATGCCTGCTCCCCGCCACCCCCACCCCTGTCCCATTGCTTCCCCTCCCACCGGCCAGGTGCTAGGTAGGAGCCGATGGGCTTTAGGGAGAGTGTGCGCGCACGTGCACGGTGGGTTTCACCCACACGTCCGACGATTCCCCCTTTTTCTCTGGGTCCGGCGACCGGGGCCTGCCTGCAGGAAGTTGAGAGTTTTTGCTCCAGGTAGAGGAGAGCCACGTCCCCAGCCTGGGCAAGGTTTGAGGTTAGACCAGGGCCTCCCCGGCGGCTCCGCAGGTGAAGGTTTTGCAGTGTCAAGTCCGAGAGAATTGAGCTGGACTAGTGAAACCTTTCATTTGACCTGGATCTTTGGGGCCTTAAAATTGAGTTACTTCCGTGGGACTTTGGATTTGAGTTGGATCCTACTGGAAACATTCAGAGCTTGTTTCAAGGACATCCTTCCCCCTCTCCTTTTTTTTTTTTTTTTTTTTTAAAGTATATAAGGGATGGAAGAAGAGAGAGAATCCCAAAATCTAGCTGTAGTCCAGCCCGGGATTGTAGTTCCCTGGCCTGTCCCTCCCCGGATTCTCCCTTTGCCTCCCACCAAAGACTTCTGAAAGTGAATCTCTTGTGTTTCTATTTTTAGAAACTAGAAGATGGACATTTAAACAACTCCTTGGGATCTCCTGTACAAACAGATGTGTACTTTCCACGATTGGTAAATAATTTTGTTTTATGTTCTTTTCTTTTTTTTTTTTTTTTGGCCTGCTTCCTTCTCCCTGTATTCTGTATGGACCAGGTCCTCAAGCCTTCTGCAGATAAGCCACCAACCTTCTGTTATCTTTTTGCTGTTTCTAGATAGTACCGTTTTGTGGGCATATTAAAGGTGGGATGAGGCCGGGCAAGAAGATCTTAGTGATGGGGATTGTAGACCTCAACCCTGAGAGGTAAGGCTTAATCGCTGTCTGTGTTTAGCCGAATTGCTTTTCTTTTTTCCTGCTTTTATAAATTTTGTTATGAAGATGGGGGAGGGGCACAGTTTGTGTTCAGAAATAAAGGTGATGGTAAAAAAAAAATCAATAAAAATAAGACTTAAAAAATCATCAGAATCACTGTCCTTATCAGGGAATGTTGATTGGAGTGCCTAGCAGAGAAATAAAACTTCTCTCTCCCTTGTGGTCTAGTGCTTCTCTTGCTTCTGGATACATTTCCTGGCCAAGGAAATGCCAAGAAAGTACCATGTTCCCATGAAAAGAATTTGTGTGAATCCCATCCATCATTTCTGCAGACAGCTATTTTTATCAGGAATTATAAATATAGACACACATTTTCCCTTTGACCCATAGAGGGGGTTAGGATCCTTTCATCATTCTTTTATGTGTTATATGCAGCCAGGACATGACTTAAGGAACTCACCACCACCAAAATTCAAGGAAAGCCAAATACGGCAAGTTATTGTTCCCTTGGTCAACCTCTGGGGCTGTTTCTGGTTACTCAGAGTTTTAGCAGCGTTGGATTAGGATGTATAGAGGAGTTCCTTGGTGGAGGAGCGGGGAAGGCAGACAGCGACACCCCTTCAGGAAGAACAACAATAGTATGGACAATTGAAAATCTATACATCATCCAAAATCAATAACTTCAATCCCTCTTCCCTTCAGTACATTTTTCTTTCCCTAGCTCAGCTGGCAGGCAGCACAGTTGACTTAGAAAATTTAAAAGCCTGAATAATCTAGAAAGGATGTCAAGTTATCTGATCCCATATAGATAAGGTTGGTTGTGTTATTCTTTCAGTTTTGAGATCAGTTTGACGTGTGGGGATTCCAAAGACCCTCCTGCAGATGTGGCCATTGAACTGAAAGCAGTATTTACAGATAAGCAGCTGCTCAGAAATTCATGTATATCTGGAGAAAGAGGTGAAGAACAATCAGCAATTCCTTATTTTCCTTTCATCCCCGACCAGCCGTTTAGGGTAAGTCCAGAGAACGGTGCACTACCAATTGCACAGGGGTTTGGTACATGTAGCTTGCTAGTTGGTGGGTGGAGAAATATCCAAGCTGCTGAAGTTTGCTGCACATTCAGGAAGTAGGCCGTCTAAGAGTTGTAAATATTTAAAATTTTAAATATTAAATATTTAAAGCGTTAAGTGTTGTACATTAATGCTTGCAATGGTAGTCACTATTGTTGTTTGTGGAATAAGTTGTATGGGCTCCATGAACCCAAGAAAGAATGTAGAGTACTAGGAATAGATACTTTTGCGCACACACAAATCCCCACTGGCCCCCCTCCCCATCAGACTTAGCACTGTGCTAAGCATAATGACTCTTTGAATTATTCCTCAGGGATTGAATATTTCAGTCATTAAATAACAATTTACTTTCTCATGAATTTCCACTTTTCTTTAGAAATTGTGGTTATTATTTCACGAGCCTATTCATAGCCACCTCTCTCCCACAGTTTATGCCCTTGGGACTGTACTAGAGAGTGGCAGGATAATACAGCCTTTCCTTCTCCCACTGTTGTGATTTAAAAGTATGGGAAGCTAGTGATAAAAGTTTTGTGATGCCTCTTGTTAGCGTATGTCCCAAAATTGGCAGCTATGGTTTAAGGGCTTCGTGTCACATGCACATTAATTATACAAAACTCTCATTGACCTCTTAGGGACTGTTTCTTTCTATGGGCAGTGAGCCGGTACAGTGGATAGCACCCTGAGCCTGGAGTCAGAAAGTCATGATTTCAAATCCAGCGTCAGGCATTCATTGTGTGACTCTGGTCAAGTCTCTTTAACTGCCGCCTGCCTCAGTTTCCTCATCTGTAAAATGAGAATAACAGTAACACATACTTCCCAGGGTTGTTGTGAAGATCAAATGAGATAATCTTTGCAAAATGTTTTGCAAACTTTAAAATGCTATGTATAAATGCTAATTATTATCATCATTATCATAATCTCATTCTGAATAAAATTTTGCCATTAATCTACTGCTCCTCATTCCTTATCTTGAAAATGCCATGCGTGAGATTTATGAGGACATAATTACCTTTTCTCATCTTAAAAATAGAGGCAAAACAGTATAGTGGACAGTGTTGTACTTGAAATCAAGAAGGCCTGGGCTCAAATCCCACTTTTGACATTTGGCAGTATGAACAGGCACAAGTCACTTAAACTATCTTGGCCTCAGTTTCCTCCTCTATAAAATGGTGATAATAGATGCCGATCATCCCCCCTCCTACAAGATTGTGTTGTAAGCCTCAAATAACATGAAGTGAGATAAGACTTTTGCAAACTTGAAACTGTAGAAATGACAGTAGTTACTATTACAGATAGAGAAAGTGAGAAACAGACCTGCCCAGGATTGTGCCCATTCACCTGCCATATGTGGGACTGTGACCAGCATGAGGGATTCCAGGATGTGGCCTCTGGATGGGAGTAACTAAAGCTTCTTGACCAACATTTTAAAATAACGCAACACTCAATTGAACTAAAATTAGGGCCTTCTATGTTAATATCACCTCAATAATCATCTTAATTAGATGTGACTAATGTGCTGTGTGGAGTCTCTCCTTACATGGTGAACACCTGTCTCTTAATAAAAACATACCAAGAGACCATTAATTACACCCTGTGGTAAATTACTTAAGGTGTAGTTAAGAAAGAGAGAAAGAAGGCTTAGCATTTCCAGTATGGAAGCAGGATATTTGTTCCACAAAGGCCCTGATGATAATGTGTGTAAGGTGCTTTGCAAACCTTAAAAGTGTTATATAAATGTCAACTATTCTTATTACGCTATTTATTATTATGCTCTTTTTTATTATAAGTTGGTCCAGTAGGAATTGACATATCAACTTCTGGCAAAGTAATAGAATCATTTTACTTCAGGAGGAAGCTCCTAATGAAATTAGTGGTAGAAGTTAGGTGGGTAATCAGTGGTGGCATTAAATACCATATCACACTCCTGCCAACGGCAGCATCATTTCCTGGATGTCGAGTGTTTGAAGGCAGAAGCAATTGTAAATCTATAAAATGTGCCTACTGCCTTTCCAGAAATTACAAAATCATGTGTTAGGCCCAAATCATTGAAATTACGTACTTAATTTGTCATTTTGTTTTTCCCAGGTGGAAATTCTTTGTGAACACCCACGATTTAGAGTATTTGTGGATGGACACCAGCTTTTTGATTTTTACCATCGAATTGAAACACTGTCCTCAATTGACACAATAAAGATCAATGGAGACCTTCAGATCACTAAACTTGGCTGACCTGGGTGCCCAGATCATTGTCCCTACTCCAAATAGGAGCAGATGCCACCCTCTGTTGTCTGGAACGGCAATCCTACCAGGATATGGAGACTTAACAAAACAAACATAAACAAACAAACAAACAAAAAGACACACTTCCCAGTCTCTTCTGTGTGTGCAGTTTAACCCCAAAATGAAGACTTGAACTGGGGTTTACCCTCTTGAAGAGAGCTTTTGGGTAACAGACACTGAGCCGATGTCCTGGAGCAAAGTAATACATTTATGCTGGGTTTTGTTCCTATCAAACTAGAATGGGTGTGGGGTCATTTGGGATTTGGGGCTTAATTGGCAGCAGTGTATTCATTCATCTTTCCTTTGCAGAAGGAGGTCTGCAAACAAAAGTGCTAAAATAGTAGTAATAATATTAATAATTTTAAATACGGTACACAGAAAAGTTTTCTTTTGTGCAACCAGTTTCTGCACTGAAGTAGATTCATGTAGCACAACCAATAACATTTTAGTCAGGGTATTTACATAGAATGTAGGTTGTTCAAGTTTTTTGCACAGCATAATATTAATACAGTTTTTAAAGCTTTCTTGGTAGTTTATTTATACTCAGTGTATGTATTAGAAAAACAAGCAGTTATTGAGTACATACAGAGAACAGCAAGTCATGAAGTTTTGAATGTACAAATGACTTAGGTCCATGGGATAAAGTAAACTTTTATCGCTTCTGAAACACATATACAGTTATTTGAATAATTGAGTTCTGGTGGTGTCCTTTACACCCCTAAAATTAAGCTCCTTTGGAACAGTTGCTCTAAATGCTTTGGGGGAAGTGGGGAGAGCTTTGCAGTAATTTAATTAAAATTATTTCCCATGCTATTGGTCATTACATGTAACTACATTTACCCTGAGTTTGCTCCTTTCTGTGAATTGACATAATACATAATATGGCTTCCCTATGGGTATATTCCCACATTTTCTTGGAATTTATACCATAGCTCATTGTGTAATTGTTCAGTTAATTGAAAATACTTATGAAGTGATTGCAAAGACAATATTTTTTAAAATGTACTTTACAGGGACTTTCAACTTATTATAAAGAGGGTGTTCGTGACATGATAGATAGCAAAGTAAGTGTACCAAGAGAACTTTCTGGATTTTGAAATAAGGTTAATAATATTTACGCTGTACCAATAACAGCTGCCGAATTTCAGAGTTCAGAACATAGGTCTCCTTTCATATGTCACTCTTAGCAGTTTCCCTAACCAGTGCCTCCTCTGCTTTGGCTGACTGACTGACAGAATCGATTATCTTCCATCTCTATTGATCCTTACAGGAGGAAAGATTAGGATTGAGGCTGGATCCCAACTAAGTAATTCTGTTTCAAAGGGTTAACTCTCATATTGTCAAGCTTTTGAGTGTGGACAATTTTAGGCTCAGCAGAGTTTTGATACCACATACTGGCTGAGCTGATAAATGGGTTCGGTTTCTCTAAGGAGATGTAGAAAGTACTGTAACTATCCATGGAGGGAAGGTTTAAGGACTGGCCTCTGAGCTCCACCCTCCCAGGCTGTGCTGGTGGCATTGGTTAGAACTTCGCATTAGTAAGGTCCCATGGAGAGCAGGACTCCATATTGACTCCCAGCTCTGCTATCTGTGTGACCTTGGGTACTTCTCTGGCCGTAGATGGTGGTCTCTATGGTCCCTTCCAGCTCTAAAACCTCGTGATCCTAAGAGTGGCTGTGGGGGGTGGGGGTAGGGTGGGGGAGGTGTATTTATATATAATTCAGATTTGTTGGTAGAAAATCGAGTCTTGTTAACGGTCATGTTTGCTTTTTAGTTATTTTACACAACATGCAGACAAATGGAAATGACCAGGTCATTTCCACATGTCGAAAGAAGGTAGACAGTGTTTCAGCACCAAAGTATAATCTTTAAAAAAAAAAAAAAAAAGGAAAGAAAACCAAAATCATGAGGTTTGAGGATTCTTCCCCATCTCGGAAACTGTTTAACACAGTCTCACTGTGTTATATAAGAAGATTCATTATCTCCTCAGATCCACTTTGCTCCGAAGAGTTTTACTAGTTTGGCTAGACTGCCTTTGATCAACTTTTCTCACCTTAGAGAAGTGTAAGCCTCCCTTATTCTGAAGAGAGTTTGTAGCTATTTATAGCATAACTGGGCTCTGCTCATCATTAAATGATCACCTTTAGAAGGTAGCCCGCCAGCTACAAAATTCAGCAGAAAATAGAGGGCACTTGAGTGTAACCGGCTGGAAACAACTCAATTCTACCTACTTATCACTGAACCAATTAACGGGTCTTTAGGCAGCTTAGCCGCAAAGGTGCAGTGTTAACCCTTTCATCTCAACTCAGAGAGGGCCTTGAGAGCCCATAATAAGCCTTTTCAGGAATGCATTTTAGCTGTGAGAGAGCTTGATTCAAGTGCTGCTAAACTGGAAGGTGAATAATCCTGTGGTTTTAATCATTTTTTTAGCTGCAACTTGAAAATAATTTTCACCTCACATCATTCTGTGAGGTCTAAGGTGGGAAATGAAGATGAGAAGGTAACAATTTAAAATTTCACAAGAAAATGTTGTTATGTAGGCAGTTGCTGAGTACCAGAGCCCTCATTTTCCAACATGATTAAAATAATCCCAAATATCAGAATTAGACTATTGAAAGATAAAGTAAGCTTTACCAGGGGTCCCTAACCTTTGTTTCATGGACCCCCTTTGGCAGTCTAGCGAAGCCCAGGGACCCCTTTTCAGATTGATTTTTTAATGGCATAAAATAAAGTAATAAGTATTACAAAAGAGATCAGTGATATTGAAATACAGTTATCAAAGTATTTTTAAAAACAAGTTTACGAGTCACTAAGTTAAAAAACCCTTGCTTTAGACAATCTGTTATTTCCTTCCTACAACATTGTGTCCGTAAAACAGAATTGAAATTGGTGTCGGCTCTTTGAATTACTAAGGAACTTATCTTTAAGATTTTGTTTTGGATATGTTTCCAGTGAAGCTGACCTTCATTTGGAACTCCTTTTAAGGTTCCTTCATAAAATTGATAAAATGATCTTCATTTTATTCAATTGCCCCCAAAAAAGAGGGAAGGAGAAATGTTGCCTTGACAGAAACAGCCTTGACATTCTTAAACATTCATGTAGAGATAGAATTCCTTTAAGAGATTTTCAAAGAAACACTTTCTTATTTTCTGTGTGGTGTAAAATGTTGCTAAATGTGTTATCTTATGTCACTGCTGAAAATTATTTGCACTAAAATAAAAAAGCATTTTGTACAAAATATTTTCCACATCTTCTAATTTACCTTAAGTACCATGTTGTAGTAAACAAAACAGTGTTCCACACTTCTCTTTCTGAAACCCCAACCCATAGCCAGTTGATAGTGATTTAGCTGTGTCAGCAAACCAGTCAAAGGCTAGTGTTTTAAGGGGAGAAAAGTATGTAAAGGAGTTGGGTTTTGGTTTGGTTTTGTTTTAAACAAGGATCTCCATCACTTGTGGGAATGGCTAACACTGACTAGGCCCATTGGGGTAAAGAATGAAAAAGGGGACATAGGGAAAGAGATAGAGGAAATGTTGCATGCCAGGTGTTTGAGAAATATTTGAGTGAGTGAATGTGATACTAGCTGTGTCTATATTGTTTTGAGATTGTATTTCTTAAGTTTCTTTTCATTGTTTTTAAAGCATGCATCTGGGAATCAGGAGAGGGACAAAAAGAAAAAAATACCTGGAGGGTCACATATAGACAATAAACTTTGACTTTTCATTGCATAGTATCTGGTAAAACAATATTTGCTACTTAGGACCTTGACAAGTTTCAAGCAACTGAACAATTATTAAGCATCAACTGTATGTGTTGCACATAGTAGGCACTTAAAATGATTACCATTCATATAGTGAATATATAAGTAGTATGAAATAAATTAAGCCACAGGAAGCATCCAGGTCCATACTTATCTCTCAAGTGGTCAAATATCTGGTTCTGTTCAAGGAGGTCCAAAGTCAAAGAAACTGATTTACTAATCCTGCTTGGTAACTTTTTGTATGATGATTCAGTGCCAATTTTAAATACAACTTGGACTCTTAATCTGGGAGACAATCCTGAGAGAAAAGATGCTAGGTGTCAAACACAAATGTGCTTCTCTCCCATTAGGAAAGTTCCCTCAGACAATATGCCATTAAGACATAACCATATTAACTTCACTTCTCCTCCCCCCGAGGCTAGAATAGTAGACGGTCATGTACCTTCAGATCATTCTAAATATAATAAGAGAATTGAGTTATATAGGGGCTGGAATACTACTATGACTGATTTTTGTATCTGCCTGTAAACATGCTTCAGTGTCCATCAAGGCAAACAGGGCCATTGTCACAATTGTTACCATCTTCTCATCTACCCCTATAAAATATAGAACAGAAGAGAAAATTGTTGCTTTACAAATAAGAGTTTTATAAAACCCACAAGGCTCAGAGTGTTTTTTGGAAGGTAATTTCAATTTACACCAAAAGATGAGGGCAGTGAGCCACACTATAATAAAGAAAAAGTAGGTAGGGATAGGGGTGGGAAGGGGAGTGTCCTTTATGGGTTTGGTAATTATTATAATTACTCTTTTGAAGAAATAAGGACTGGGTTATGTTTCTAGTTACTTGGTGTATTTTCAGAGGGACATGCTTATATGTTGAGGTTTGGGAAACGTGCTGAAAAGCATTTAACAAGCAAAGGCAAACTGCATAAATTAATACATAGGATTTTAGTCCTAAATTTAAAACACCCTTTCATGAGAAAAATGTAACTGAGTTAAAATATGCTCCTTTGCATCCTATGTATCAAGATACAGTTGCCTCAAGTGAGTTTCAGTCTTATTTTAATTTCACAATTCTTTACCCCCAAAAGATTGTTAAAAAAAAAAATAGGTAGAGAACTCTTGTTCAAAAGAAACAATTAATTAAAATGGGTGTATCCAAGATGCCCAACAATGCCCAACCCAAATGGAAGGGGGGAAAATCCGAAGACGCTTTCCCTTGCTTTGATACACCCTACCTTCTCTTAGAAAAATACGGGATTACGTGAACAATCAACCAGGGTAAGAAGGGATTATTGTTTATTTGATATAGTAACATAAGCTCTACCCAAATAATAGACTCTTATGTAGCTAATAACTTTTTCCTGGGCTCTTTGGATGTTGTAGGATATTTTGACCTTCAAGTCTTTCATGAGTAATAATGAAGTATTCTGCTAATAACCCCTGCACCTCCCTTTATGTGATGGTATCCACTGAGCAATATACATTTTATGCCATAATTAATTCTATGATGTTAAAACAAAATACAACAGAGTTTACTCATTCTGATTGAATAGGAAACAAAACAAATACAGTTGGCTAAGGAGGATGTTGAGTGGGAATTAGGAATGGGAAGATCTGCTCCACCGATCCTAGGCCAGTAATAATTTGCTATACGTATTTGGGCAGGTCATCCAATCTCTCTGCTTTAGTCTGCCTTCCTACCTAGAAGTTCATGAAAGTCATAGGATCCCACGTACTTGTTAATGACATGAGACGACAGGGTAGTATATGAATACAAGATAATATTTATTAAAGGTGATAATCCAGGGACAATATAAACGTGAAATGAATTTCTATACTAATCCTCTATGATTTTTATGATGAAAACTATTAAAAGTGTGCTTCCTTGAGTCCATTTTAAATTATCATTGTCTACTTATAAGTATGCAACCCAGAATATTGAAGCATAACTAGCATTAGAAGTGTATTAAATGCCTTTCAGAAATTTTTAAAGAATATACTCAGTATTTTGTAGGCTTTACATGAGAAGTTAGAGCCTTCTCCTAATGCAATAATAATGATTTTCAGATTCAGCTCAAGAGATTCTTTTTTATTATTTTAAAAATGAACCAAGGGTATGCATTAGAGGACTTGAGAAAATGGGACTCCTAAACCATAAGTCTATTTTTCTGTGTTGTACCACTTTAGGAAAGACCTTTTAATAAAAAACAAATGTGAAATATGTATACATACATACATACATATATATATATAGTGGTGTAATTTGTTGCCTTTTGGTATAATTTGTTGCCTTTTGGTTCTAAATGATCCTTACCCAAATTTCTTTCATGTTGCAATTAATAGGAATGGACCCCAGGATCCAGATGCTTCAGGTGAGCTTAGAATTGGCTCCTCGAATAGGTGACTCTTCCAGCCAATGACAAGTCTAATAGTAGAGTCATGTACTATGGTTATTACTTTCATGCTTTGATTTGTACTTTCAAACATCCTTTGCATCTAGGTCCTAAGAAGCAGCAAGGCCTAGTGGATGAAGCTCTGGCCTCAGAGTCAGGAAAACCTGGGTTTATGTCTCTCTGTCATTTACTCCCACTCACCCATCTTTCCCTAGGCAAAAAATCCTGTGGTTAACTAGAGTAATTACTTGGCGTCACCTTACAATTGACATCCTCTGTCTTACAGAGATAATGGATTCTCTCTCACTAGAGGTTTTGAAGCAAAAACTAGATATAAAGACTAGAGGACCACTTGTTGGGGACATTATAGATGGGAATTTTGTTCAGGTGTTGCTTAGACCAGGCAGTGCCTGAGGTCTCTTCCAACACAGAGAGTCTATGATTCTGTATGTTATTCTGTGGTAAAATCAACCTGTCTGTTTAGTTATTGATTACTGGAGTAATCAACCTGTTATGTTGAAAAGTAAGAATGTCATTGTTTACATGCTTAGGAATCATTAATTTCATGTCAGTGTCAAGATGGTTTTTGTCTAAGTCAACTATTAAATAATCCCTTTACCTCTCAATCCTGTATGTACCAGTTTGACGCCTCCAAACTCCATTCCTTTGCTAGCACTGTTATCTGTTATTGGAATGTCTTTTGTTCCCCTCTTAGTTTGTTGAATTCCTACCCAAACATTTCTTTGTTTGTTTGTTTGCTTATTTATTTTGAGACTGGGTCTCCCTGCCTCCCCAAGGCTGGAAATACAGTAGTCAATCACAGGCCCCACCCTACTACTGATTAGCATGAGGCCTTTGAAGGGCTTTGTTTCTAACCTGGGTCTATCACCCCTCATTGGGCAGTCTGACCCTGGCCTCTTGGTATTAGTGCAGGACCTAGTTTCTGACACTTGATTGGCTTACTGATGAGCTCAATGGATCCATCAGCCTCAGCCTCCCCAACACCAGCATTAAGATTACAGGCCTGAGTCACCACTCCTGGCTACACCTAAACTTTAAAGTCAAATTCACAGTCACCTCCTCTATCAAGCCATCCTTGCTCTTCCTACCTCCCATCGGCAATAAACTTCTCCATAAGACCTCATACTTGTTATTATTGCAACTACAGATACTTGTATTTGTGTCAGATATCTCTATGAGATTATTAATCCAACTAAGGGCAAGGGACTATGTCTTAACTCCATTCTATATCCCAAACAGTGCCAATGCCCATCTACTTGTAGAATGAATTCATAGAGTCACTCTTGACTGGTAACATATATATATGTGTGTGTATATATATACACACACACACACATATATATGTATGTATGTATATACGTGTATGTATATGTATATGTATGTATGTATGTATGGGTTTCTCAGCCTCAGAGAGAGAACATACCTACTATATGCAAGGATATGTGCTAAGTCCTGGTGGAATACAAAAAGCTAAAAAAAAAAAAAGTTACCTGTGCTGAAGGAGTTTACAATATATTTGGAAAGATAAGGCACACACAATTTAAAAAAATTATAATATGTCTTTCTATAATGTATCTAATTAATTATATAATTCAACTTAATTGAATTATATTGAAATATTTGTTTCTTCTACCACACTACTAGATGTTGGGAAATCAAAAATGAAAAAATGACATAGTCCCTGTCCTCAAAGATTTATAATCCACTAGGGGGCAGACTACCCTCTTTTTTTTTTTAATTAAATTAATAATTACATGTGAAGCAGGTAGGTATTGTAATGGATAATGTCCTTTACCTGGCATCAGGGAGAACTGACTTTAAACTTTACTTCAGATGCCTAGTAGCTATTCAGTGATTAACCTGGACAAGTCATGTAACTTCTATCTGCCTTAGTTTCCTCATCTGTAAAATGAAGATAATAATAGTACTTACTTCACAGGGTTGTTTATTAGAATCAAATGAGATAAAATTGTAAAGCAGTTTGCAAGCAGTATATAAATACTAGCTACTATTACTACTGCTGCTGCTGCTGCTGCTACTGCTACTTAATACTACTTACTGTT